TTTAATGCCTCTAATGTTGTTGCCTTTTTAAGTTCTCTAAATAACCGTCTTCAGACCGCTGTTTCAAGCCGTGATATTACGCTCCTGTGGCATTTGGCCTTCGATCTGAATGTGGTGGAGGGGTACAGAGAGGGGAACACCGCCCCTTTAAGACCTTTAGATCCAAACACTGTCACATATTTAAGACCAAAGACTGATACAACCATTAAGGGTTTTTGTTTCCCAGGCTGTTCGTCTGGTAAAAATAAGATTATTTAAAGGTCATATATTTAAAATCCTCTTCTCATGTTCCTCTCACTCTAACATGTGTCTCTAGTCTGTCTACAAATCCCCCTATGATGAGAAAAGTCCATCCTCTCCGTCTTCTGCCTGCTCCACTTTTCAGAAAATGTGTGCTCAAACAGGCCGTTTGGAGATGTTCCCTTCATTACATCACAAAAGGGCAGTAGCCCCTCCCCCAGGTGGGTGACACTCCCACAGCTAGGTGTTTGTTCTGCCCTGAGTCTGCCTTCTCACCGTAAACAATAGGACATGGAGCGAGAAAGCCAGAGTACACCAAAGCACCTTCCAGAGAGGGGGCGTGGTCAGACACTGCTCATTTACATATTTAAAGGTACAGACACAGAAACAGCCTGTTCTGTTCTGTGTTGGAGGATAATATGTGACCTTTAAAGGTGAGCTGAAGCTCTTCGTGATGCAGAGTTTTTGTCACGTGTTCATGAGCACATCTGAACCGCTCATACAAAAAGCTTTGTGTCACAGTCCCGACGTATTTACAAGATAAACACAAAAATATGTACAGACTTCAGGTTGCTTTTTTAGCCTCGCAGGCCTCCGTCCAGCGTCAGCGTCCCGAACCTGAAAGAAAACAGAAATATTAAAACCTGAACCCTGAAAAGTGAAGAAGACGTTTTGCAAAAAAAGGTTCTGGATGTTTTTAGCCTAGCTTAGCATAAAAGACTGGAAGCGGAGGGATTTGGTAAAATATCTCAGGAGGGCCCGGGCGCTATTTTAACCCCTTACAGCCTCTTTAGTTTCTACAGACGCTCACTTTAAAGTCCGTCATGTTCTGGGATCTATTGTGATTAATAACAAGATATTAACTCGGCTAGCAGTTTCCCCCCGCTTCCAGTGTTTGTGCTAAGCTAGGCTAACGGTGGTGTTTCAGCCTGACCTCTCTAAGAAGTGGTTGTTCTCTGCGAGCTCTTTGACGCGCCCTCCATCTCCTCCTTCAGCTTCTTCATCCTGAAACACAACACGGAGACGCTCCATAAATAAACACACACACACACACACACACAGTTTATGGAGGATGAAGAGTTAAAGATTCCTGACCCGAGCGTCATCTCCACCAGCGTGTTCTGGCTCAGGTAGGCCGGAGGTTTCATCCCGCTCGACACCAGAGGAAGAACTTTCTGAGGCGGCACTTCCTGCAGCTGAAAACACACACACACACACACACACACACACACACACACACACACACACACACACACACACACACACACACACACACACACACACACACACACACACACACACACACACACACACACACACACACACACACACACACACACACACACACACACACAATGTTAATCAGCTATAACATGACGACCTCATGTGAGCAGGTGATGATGTCATCGCTCACCTTGATGGCTCGCTCCATCAGCATGGTGACCTCCTTCTCGATGCCGATCAGCTGACCCGACAGGTTGAGCAGCTGCTTCTTCACGTGGTGCACCTTCCTGAAAAAACAAAACGTTTTCCTCTTCACACGGTAACCAAGCAACACAGAGACTCCGCCCACTTCCTGTCCGTCTGAGTCAAACAAACATGCGGCGGCTGACGGTGACGTGTATATATTTTTTTACCTCATCCACTCCTCGCTCTTTGAGATGAAGAGGCGATACTTCATGGCGCACTCCTCCGTGAACAAAGATCTCGCTTTACTGGCGTGAAGCACCAACTTCTGTCTGTCAGAGAGACACACACACACACACACACACACACACACACACACACAATATTTTTGCTGAAGATTTACAGTTTTGTCTTTAGTGGTCGTCTGAAGGTATAAATGACGACGACCCTCGACCTCACTCAAAGGTCGCCACATGTTGATGTTTTGATACCACGTGTTCTGTAACCATACGATCTCTCTTATTTTAATGATCTTCAGAAAAAGCGCAGCGTCTTCTTTTTGAGCGCATCCTCTTGAAAGTCTTTTAACCTTTCAGAAAGGCGTGTTCTTTTATTTTCAAAATAAAAGATATTCCCCGTATTTTTGCAGATTAAACTAAATTCAATTTAGTTATGAAATTAAATTAAAATATCTCAATTATTAAACATACAGTTAAAACTAACGGAGCAGTGTCTGTCACACAGCGGCCGTTGTCAACAGACTTGCAGCGCTTTTCTTTCAGCGCACAAACGCTTCATGCAAACGCTCCAGAGCGCACATCAGCGCTTTTCTGCCCAAAGAGAAGACACGGCGCCTGAGATATCTGATGTGTAAATTCAGTGAACTTACTTGTCAAATTTGTGGATCTGTTCTTCGTTGTACGGCAGACCTGAACAAACAAACGATATTAAAACTCTGATACACCTTCACAATAAAAGAGAGAACATTTAAAAACAGTTTAAACAGGATGTGAACGCTCTCACGTCTCTCCGCTTTGTCCTTCTTGAACTGTTGGTAGATGGCCGTGATGGCGTCCAGCAGGACTTTGATTTTCTCCACGCTGCAGATGAAAAAACATTCCCACATCAGACAAACTGTCATCGTGTTTAAATGAAACATGAGTCGACATGAGGCAGAGGCGGGCGGGGCTCACTTCCTATCCTCGGGGTGCGTCCCCACTTGTTGCGTCCAGCCTTCGGTGAGCAGACCTCCCGGAGGAACTTACTCTTGATGTCCTGAGCGGTTCGTTCCAGGGGCTCCAGAGAGCTGGAGATCTACACACACACACACACACACACACACACACACACACACACACACACACACACACACACACACACACACACACACACACACACACACACACACACACACACACACACACACACACACACACACACACACACACACACACACACACACACACACACACACACACACACACACACACACACACACACACACACACACACACACACACACACACACACTTTTAGTTTCCAAAGATTGCAAACAAAACATGAAAGATTTTTCATAAATGTAAAAAAAGAAGCGAGCGCTCACTCTGAGGATTTTCTTGTGCATGTCTGAGATCTCGTCGTACTCCGATGACATCATGTTGGCCTGCATCAGCACCTCGAACCTGCGAGGACGACACGCAGGGTTAAACCTTTTCCTAGAATCAAAAGTGTTAAAACTTTCGATTTATTCAAAGTGAGCGAGCGACTCACAGCTGCTCCGTCTTCTCCAGGATCTGCGTGCAGAAGTTACACAAGTGGAACACTTCAGACTTCTTGTGCAGAATCTCACTGTAGTCCTCCTTCATCAGCTCGCTGCAGGAAACAAAAAACACATTGAGAGATGTTTGTGACCCGACACGCTCTAAAGACGGTGTGAACAGACTTATGAATACAGGGGTTGACATTAAAGCCACTGGTTTTTCAAAGATCACTGGACCAGGAACATCACTTTTGATTCTTAGAATAACAGTCACCAATTTACTCTTGAACCATTCTGATGCGAGATTAAATTACAACTTTTATTAAATGAATTGAGCTCTAATTATAAACATATTGTGTATTCTTCTTATATTTATGTGCTCATGTTTATTCACCATGCTGCTAACTGTAAGAGTCTACTTAATGTGATATTAATATGAGGCTGTGATAGATCTGGAATCTCTCCTTCTTTCTTCTCTGTGAGAAACTCTTCATCTTTACATCTTTACTTTAGGAGCTCTCTTTAGGGCTAACATGTTTTGTGAATCACTTTTATCTTTAGCAGGATCTAGTCTTTAACTTTAACGTGTTCCAGCTCCTCCAGCTGTCTGTCACTGTGGATCAAACTCTGTTTTCATCCTGCTGTCGCTCTCCACTCTTCAGGTGATTTGTTTCTCTTTGAATTCTGATTTAAACTCGGCTTTTGTCGAGATCTGATGGTTTTAAAAACCGTTTTACCAAACTTGTTTTTCATCAGAGAAAACCTGCTCTAAGATCTGTGTACGAGTTTACAATTTGAGTGTATGAAGCCGTCGGCTGCCTTTCAACTGTGACACAGGAGCGCGTGCACGAGCGCTGATGATGCGTTGATGCTGTAGCAGTTATCAGCACAACGTTTATAATTACTGACAAAACACCGACATGACAGGAACGTGTTACTGTTAACATGTCGAGCCCTGGAATAAAACTGCTTATTGACACATTTATCTAGAGCTGTTGTGTGTGTGTGTGTGTGTGTGGTGGTGTGTGTGGTGTGTGTGTTGTGTGTGTGTGTGTGTGTGTGTGTGTGTGTGTGTGTGTGTGTGTGTGTGTGTGTGTGGGCTGAATCATGTATCCTTTTGTTGTCTTCAGTAAAAACAGGATGAGGAGCTAACAGGAAGTGGACCTGCTCAGCAACAGGACGCTCTCTGAGTGTGTGGCGTTTTCTTACATCACGCCGCGCACTCCTTTCCTCACGAGCTCCTGATAAACCAGCAGAGACTCCGAGGTTTTCCATAAGTGACCGACGTCGCCGGCAAACGTCTGAAACAACAAGAGAGGAAGTTAGCATGTTTAAAGGTTCTGTGTCTTTAAGAGACTCTGCTGCCGGAGCGCGTCACGGCGAGGAACAGACGGTCGAGCGCCGACCCGTTACCTTAGCGTAGCTGGCGTCCAGGTCGAGGTCGTAGCGAGGCTGGACTTTAGGAGGACTCGCTGCAGAGACAAAAACACTCGGGGTTAAAGCGAGCGGCGGTGTGCGGGAACTCAAACAGCTGATGACCACAAAGAGGAAGTGACGTACGGTCTTCGAAGATGAGGCCCACGGTGGTGACGGACTCGCGGCTCACGAGCATGATGGGATTGTCCCGGGACGTCTTGGGGAACGTCTTGGCCTGGCGGTTCGGGTCGAGGACGAGGCGGCGCCCCTCGTACAGCAGCTCCTGGTTGTGCAGCGGGATGCTGGAGCGGCGGGACATCAGCTCCTGGAACAGCGCCGCCCTGTGGACACACGGAGGAGTGCAGTCAGTTTGTCCCCACGCCACGCCCCCCCCACGCCATCTTCCCCCCCGTGTCCCCCGGTCTTACGTGTTGTACTCGTGGATGTAGACGTGGTGCAGCGTGGCCTGCTGCAGACTGAACACGTTGACCACGGTGCGGTGGAGGATGTCGTTGGTCTCAGCGAAGAACTGATCGAAGCCCCAACACTTCTCCTGATCCGCCTCCAGGATGTTGGCGAGGACCGGAGTCAGGAGACTCTGAAGACCCCTGAGACGCCAAAACACGAGATGAGACACCAGAAACCAGAACACACACACACACACACACACACACACACACACACACACACAGACACACACACACACACACACACACACAGAGACACACACACACACACACAGACACACACACACACAGAGACACACACACAGAGACACACACACACAGACACACACACACACACACACACACACACACACAGAGACACACACAGACACACACACAGACACACACACAGACACACACACACACACACACAGAGACACACACAGACACACACACACACACACACACACAGACACACACACACACAGAGACACACACACAGAGACACACACACACAGACACACAGACACACACACACACAGACACACACACACAGACACACACACACACACACACACACACACACACACAGACACACAGAGACACACACAGACACACACACACACACACACACACAGACACACACACACACACACAGACACACACACACACACACACACACACACACAGAGACACACACACAGAGACACACACACACAGACACACACACACACACACACACACACACAGACACACACACACACACACACAGACACACACACACACACACACAGAGACACACACACAGAGACACACACACACAGACACACACACACTCACTTGGACAGGCTGCAGGAAACGGGCATCTCGGTGCTCCACTCGATCTTCCCGTTCTCGCTCTTCTGATGTCCGGAGATCGTCCCCGACGGCTTCTCTGTGATGATTTTATACCTGAGACACACACACACACACACACACACACACACACACACACACACACACACACACACACACACACACACACACACACACACACACACACACACACACACACACACACACACACACACACACACACACACACACACACACACACACACACACACACACACCGCTCGTTCAGCTTCCTGTTCCTCGTCCTCAGAGTCACATGTTTAACTCTTTGATCTCTCACATGACTTCTTTGTTCCTGCGCGGCCCCTCGAATGGTCTGAACGGCAGGCTGCCCGTGGCGGCGTGATAAAACGTGACTCCGATGCTCCACAGGTCGACCGTGGCGCCGTATTTCTTCTGGTGGTCTTTTCTCAGCACGGCTCGCTCGTACATGTCCGGGTGCTGCGAGGGAAAAAACACATGAAGAAGAAAATAACAGGAAGTTAAAGATGTGTTGGTGTAATTCATTATTTTTTTTTAGCTTTTCGTGCGTTGAAGACGAGAAAGAGAGAGCGTGGTGTAGAAACCATCGTACGACAGAGTCCACGTGGGACCTATGAAACGTGCGTATCTGGCTGATCACAGCGTACGCAAGACCGGGTGTTGATAAGCGTGGCGACTGGAAACGCCCCTATTTACTCACGGATCAGCTGTCCTCGCCCTCAGAGTTTACAGCATGGAGATACTTAATAAGCTCCTGACCTGAGTGACATCATAACAGAGAGAAGTAAAGAGGAGGAACATCGTGTCGTCTGGCAGCCTGATGTACGATTAAAGAGCTTCAGAAGAAATGTGCCTGCATGAAATCTCCACAGCGATGTTTTAAAATATATGATATGATATATGATATATGATATGTAACGTACATAATATAGGCTATAATATAATTTTTAAAAATACTTTTAGTTTAATAAACCTGGTCAGACCAAACGATCGCTACAATGTGGCCTAGTGTTGTGGGTCTTAAAAGAAGCAGATCCCGGACCAGAGGACGCCAACCGGACCCCACCTGAAATTATCCCAGATCGTGGAGCGAGTGGCTTCCTTCATCGGTTCAGGCACAAGTGGTTCAGGTGAACCTGCATCTGTGTCGGATAACGTCGGCTGCACTGGCAGCTCGCCATTTATGAGACTTTAAAAGAGAAGAGAAACCTGAAACGTCCTGCATCACATGAATAAAGTGTTTGATCAAACGCTGTGCAATGTGCACTTCTCATCCGATTAGCCTTCTTTCCAAACATAAGAATTTAACATTAAAGAAGGTCCTGACTCCGTCTTACAGCCCCCAGATTTCTTTATTGGTTATTAAGTCACATGTAGTCTCTGGCCTCAGGGCGTCTGCTGTGCGCAATTACGCATGTGGCACATCAGCGTATTTATCATTTTAATCTCCGGATGTACCGATTAGTTATGATGTAATGTTAATGTTCTGTATTCCTAAATATTTCATATTTCAGAGACTAAAAGTTGTATTTAGTATCTCTGGAAGTTTTTCTGTCCTTTTAAAGTAACTGTTTCTAGTTTTTCTGTTTTAATTTGTCTCAGTATTTTCTGCAGCGATATCTGCAGCATGAATGTTTAACATGTATTTACTGAAAGCAGCCTCTCTAATCTTTAATCTTTAAAGCAAATCGATTAAACAAACAAAAATTCATCAAATAAAACACAACTTAATAAATCACCTGACAGCTCGCTGCTCAACATTATTTAAAAAGCGATGTACTCTACAGAGATCGTTTGAGGTGAAGCGTAATATAAAATATATTTTAGATATCTTATCTAACAGTAAATCTGTGAACCTCTATCTATCCGTCTTAACAAACACTGTTATAGTAGATCTAATTATTCTCCCACAGACAGACTCACGGCGCTGTAAGTCCACACTGAGTTGAAAACGTGCGTACACGAGCTGAGACCTGGCGTGGGATTTGAGCGTGCCCTCCGCTCACGTCCAGATTGATAAGTGCCGAACTTTGCGCGGAAATGAGCGTACACCCATTTTTCTGCCGTACGTACGTTTGATAAGTGAGGGCACGTGTGTGTGTGTGTGTGTGTGTGTGTGTGTGTGTGTGTGTGTGTGTGTGTGTGTGTGTGTGTGTGTGTGTGTGTGTGTGTGTTTCTCACCAGGTATTCCTCCGTGCCGTACAGAGACACAAACTGCTCGTCGTCATCGAGCTCTCTGGCGGCGCCGAAGTCGGTCAGTTTGTAGACGGAGCGCCCCTCCTCTCCGATCACTCGCATGATGTTTCCTGGTTTGATGTCCCGGTGGACGATACCGTACTCCCTCAGGTGGTTCATACCTGCCACTGAACGGGCCAATCAGAAAGCACCTCAGAGTCAGGTGGGACACATTGAATATTTAACATCGGATCGAAACCGCCACTCACCGACGTCGTGCAGGACGATCAGGAACTCGTCTTCGGGGAGGCCGTACGCGTTGGACGACTCCTCCAACACCGTGTAGAGACTTCCACACGGACAGTACTCCATCACCAGGACTTTATGACGAGTGTTTGACTGACAGACGAGGAGAGGAACAGATTTAGCACCACCTCAAAAACTATCTTCATTTTGTCAACGTTAGCCTCAAATAGGATTCAAGTTGTGACGACCCCTCAGCGCCACCAGGTCTGGGGTCAAGGCGGGGTCGTACCTGAGTTAAGAGCTACACCTGAGCCCGGTGTAGTTATTCTGCTAAACTAACACCAGCTAAAAGCAGCCTAAAGCCTGACTCTAAGAGCAGTAAGCGAGCAGTGTTGAAGTGAATGAAAACACCGACCTCTTCCTCCACGGCGAACAGCTTCACGATGTTTTTGTGGTTGAGTTTCTTCAGAACCTCGAACTCTCTCATCTGGACGTCCAGCGGCCTCAAAAAACTCAGGTTGTTGAACACTTTGACGGCGTACAGGTCTCCGGTTTTCTACAATCAAACACAAAAAACATCCAGTGAGGTCGTCGGGTTTTTACAGCTCAGAGTGAGGGAGGACACACGAGCCTCGTTCTCACTCCTCATCGTCAACGACATCGAGACAGAATTCAGTTAACATCTGATTGTTACGTAACACAGATATGATCTCAAGCTGGATCTGGAGTGAGTGTCACCTTGTGTCTGCCGCGGTACACGTTGGCCGTGGCTCCCTGACCCAGCAGGTCTGAGATCAGCCACAGGTAGTTTGTGGTGCTCTGCATCCTGACGGCTGCAAACGGACGTGAAAACACAGAAACTGATCACATTTTAAGTCATTGCTTTCAGGGAGGGTCAAAACCAGAATCTTGAAATTAGATTTGATTCAAGTAAAAGAAAATCGAACTATATCGAACACTGTTTTGACACCATGGCAACAGAAATAGAAGTTATAGACACCCAATATCAGACTAATGTCTTGTTGTTAATTAATTAATTCTGCACTATTTAGAATTTATTACTGTAAATATTATTTATCTTATTTTATCTTATTTTGGTCGTATTGCACTGCGGGACGGAGACAAACGCAATTTCGATTCCACTGTATGTCTGGCATATTTTGAAATTGACAATAAAGTTGACTTTGAACTTAACAAATATGGCTATTTTTTGATGGGCTGATCAAAAAACCCCATCAGCTGTTTCGGTGCCTTGCCCTAACCTGGGCAGTGAATCAGGAAGTGACCTGGCACCTCTCCAGCTACCAGATCAATGTCCAGTCCTGGTCCAAACCGGGCCTTGAACCAACCCAAGTCCCTACAGACTGAGTTACTGCGCCTGACTAATCCTCCACTATTTCATTTAATTATTTTTTTAATCTAATATTTTTCTTCTTCACATTTATCTTCTTTTTTTTCAAAGTGCTATAGAAATTATTATTATTATTATTGTTCTAGAACTTGTGGGGTGAGGGGATTTGTTTCAGTTTTTTTGTTTTTGTTTTTCTCTAAATTCTTTGTTTTAATTATTATTACTTAAAACAATAATAGCAATTGTTACAATTAGATATATTACAAGTGAATAGACACTGGATTTGTGTGTTCTTTCTCTTATTTCTTTCTCAATCAGTACTTTGCATACAAACTATTATTGTAATTATTGATGCTGTTGTTAATAGTATTATTATTAGTATAGTTGTAATATAGTTATATTTAACTATATAGAATTGCCTAATTGATATAGGGGTATATTAGAAGTACACTTGCTAAATCTATTTAAGTATATGCATCTAGATTTTCTCTGGTTATTCATGTATTATTATTATTATTATTATTATTATTATTATTGACAGTGGATTTGTTTGTGAAGTTTATGTTTTCCAAATAAACAAATCTTTAAAAATAAAAAATTAAAATAAAATTGTCCTCTGTTTATGTTTTGCTTTTTGCTGCGTAATCGTTACGTCATTACGTATTCTTGACGTCGCGGTGCGTGCGTCTGTTTGTGGGAAATTCCCGTTGAGGCCTCAAACAGAAAACCTCCAGAGATAAAGAGCCGTGACGATGATACAGGAATAACTAAAATACTTTAATACACCTGAAGACGTCACTCTTTATTTAACAGTCCGCCATTAATACAAAAACATCAAATAATAATAATAAAGATTTAATATATTTACGGTTTGATGATAAAAGTCGGTGATTACAGACGTTAGATGAAGTAAATCAGTAAAGAGTCAGATGTTTCAGAATCTCCTAGCTGTCAGGTGAGTTCCTGTAAACGGACAGTTTGTGTTTTAAGTTTCTGTTTTTATATTTTCACTTTCAGCGGACACGAACATTAACGAGCTAACGAGCTAACAAGCTAACCGTTTAAACCGCGCAGACTCACCGGCTCAGGTAGCTGACACGTCAAACTGACAAACGGTGACTTTATATTCGGTGTCTTTACGGTTTAAAATCATAAAGATGTCACCGTCTATATTTTGTTTATTTCCTCAGCCTTCTCTCTGCGGCGGAGTCCTCTGCTTCCGCTTTCTTCAGGTCACGTTGAAGGATCCGGCCAATCAGCGCTCGGGTAGGAGAGAAAGGGGCGTGGACTGCATCTACTGTAATACTCGGAAGAGAGGCGGCAGATAAAATGTGTTTAACCCTCTCAGCTGCTTAGAGAATAGAATAGAATTACTTTATTGATCCCAAACTGGGAAATTGTGGAAATGTATATTATATTATACATTAATATACTTATATACTTATATTAAAGGCAGTCAGTGGCTTTTCTCTAGAACTGCAGAGGCAAGAAAAGCTTGATCTTCAGTTATTACGGTTTCTGCAGAGGAGGCGATACAGTTGATCGAAACCTACCGGACTCTGACACGATCCCTCCCACTTATATAACATCGTAATGACTCAAACCTACATATGGAGGAATATGTAACTGACACCTAGTGTGTAAAATGGGTACTGCAGTCCAAATTCTAAACATTCCATCGCTGCAACACCTGTTGGTTTGAGCTGATAACTGCTCGAGGGGTGTCCAAAACCGCCGTGTGTGGGGGGGGTCTTAAAAGCGCCTACCTTCTCTGGTCCAAACAAATCCAGAGCATTCAGGAGCAGAATCTAAAGTTAGAAGGAGGACATACTGGCTGCTGCTTTGTTGTCAGAGAAGCCAGCACTTCAACATAGCATGTTTCCTTAATGATCAGATAGTAAGATACCTTTATCATCTCACTGATTGGACCTTTAAAGGTTACAGTATAAATATTTAACGGTCATCAATCAGCACGCAGACACTCAGTTTAAAAGTTCACTCACTTTATATTTAACAAAAAGGGAAAAAAAAAATCAGCATTTGATGAGTTACAACAGCTTATGGTGGCAGCTGGATGAGCTGTACAGGTCCATCTGATCCTCTGTTTACAGGTAAGAGTCATCGTATAAAAACGGACAGTCGGTGGAAATGAAACGAACACAACGAAAAACCAAAGTGTCGGTCGTGTCCACACAAACGTCCTCAGAGCACCATGAGAGCAACAGACTGGATGAAGGACATGTGGGGAAACGACGACGACACAAACGTTTCTGCTTTTCTGTCGAACCTCAGAGGAAAAAAAAAAACAACAACCTGGAGAGCAAAGTGCTTATTCAATCTTTTTTTTTTTTTTTTTACATTTCTACTTCCTTTGAACCTTTTCAGCAAACCTTCGTCACATCCTGTACAAAACGTCCACACGAGACAAACATCAGTCCGAGTCCGAGATGTTTCAACACAAAGAGGACACAAACTAATCTCACAATGACACGCTGGATTTGTCGCTTTTCTTGGAAATATTTAGCAGATTTTTTTTTTCAAACCTGCAAAACTGCAAAAAACTCAAATCTAAGAAAGTTTATGTCTCGTGTCGGATCAAACAAACATCACACTTCACCACATTCACCCGACAAGAGTAGAAAAACCTCTGATGTCAGGATGTAAGAAGACAGAATCACTTGTACAAAAGTAAAAAAAATCTGCTGATGCAGCATAAAAAAAATAAACTTAAGTGACTCCAGATGAGATGCAGAAACTGATTTTTAAAGATCCCTCTCATTTCCAGTGACTTAAGTACATTTTGCTTTTTATTTTTAAGTAATTAAAAGTTAAATTCTGCTGCTTATTGTTTGTAAAACCTTGAAATCAGATGTTTTTCTTCTGGACTCTTCAGGTGAACGTGGTTTACATTTAGTGCAACACAACTTTTTGTTACAATTTGAGATTTTTGCAGTTTAAAAAAAAATCTGCGACGCCTGAAAGGGAGATTTTGTCGGGCATCAAACCAGAAATGTGCACACGCATGGACTGAGCGCTGTCCACACGACCACGGTGAACAAGTGGACATAAAGACGAGTGTCATGATTGTGCTTTTTGGCTGTTTAAACCTTCGTTATGTGCTTCTTAAAATCGAAAATAAAACGAGTTGAAATGACCTGAAATGAAAAATGTTGGAGCTTTGCATCCATCAAAACGTTGAGATCAAACAGATTGATCTCATCTTCCTCTGGAGTAAAAAGATTTTAGACATAACGAGCGTCAGATTCGACGGGCTCACAGACATTTTTACAGGAAGTTCAAAGACGTAAATCTCGACCTCGGGAAAGTAACAATAATCATGAATCAAATGGAAGAAATGAGAGAAAGTGAGATCTTTAAAAGGAACGATTCACAAAATCAGACGATAAAAACGTGAAACTAAAATTCATGAAGCTCCTCTTCGTGTCACTCGTCTCGTTTTGGACACAAACAAACGTCCACCATGTTTCTTTTCTTTTAAAAACACATCGTTCCTCCAGCTGCACGAAAAAAAAAAGTTGTTTTGTACCAGTTAAAAAGATCAAAGTTCTGTAAAGTGCAGTTAGAGAAT